GAGTAACTAAGACAATGGAATCCCAGCCTTGAGAAATTATAGGTTTTTATGACATTCAAGATAATTTTAGAGGCATGTTAAACAATAGTGTGAGGGAAGAAATAAGCAAAAAGAGGTCTTTACCACTAGTGCTGTAGAAGTACCTGATGTTAGACTTTTTTAAAAAAAGCATATATTAATTATGGATTAGCAAGGACAGTACTTTCTAACCTTCTATACTAACTTAAGCTTCTTTCATCCAATCTTTGATTAGTGTAACATGTTTCCTGTATTGAGCAGTCTGCATTTTTCTTCGTAAAGGCTGTGTTGTCAAAATGGGAAGAGTGGTTGGAAACTATTCATTCAGCTGTTAGTAAACAGGTTTATCTCCTAAGCTTACATTAGGACTGATCATGTATCAATGAATGAATTTTTATATTGATTATGGAAAAGCCTGATATGACTCTGCCTGCTAATGTGATACTTCTTATGCTGCTTTACTCATCTTGGGTCCAGGAGGACTTGGCACTTACTTCTTCTTGTTACTACTAACTTCTTGTTAGTCTTTGTTTGACCACTGTAATGTTACAGCCTAAGGCAATTAAGAACAGCAGGATATGAGCCTTAATGTTTCTGCCATGCCTGAGCAGACATTTCTAATAGTCAAACTGTGTTACTCTGGCATTCTTGTTAGTTTGTTTTCTTTTTGTTCAGCATCTGTATATTTCTGGAAAAATGAATTGCTTTGCTTTGTAATTAGTGAGGAGTTCTTGTCTTAGTTCCTATTAATGTCTTTAATGAGTACTGAATACCTTCTGATAATGAATGATAAAGAAGAGAAAGCTTAAAGGGGAAGAGAAGAGAGGGAAGAGTAAGAAACTGGTAGGGTAGTTTGTTTTTTTACAGGATTGATTTTTCTTCTTTAAAGCTGTTCTTCCTTTCTCAACTCCATATGGACAAAAATAAGGGAATGGTGCTATGCAGGGCCAACAGCTGGACTTAATGATCCTTGAGGATTCCTTCCAACTCACCTTATTCTGTGACCCTGTGAAAAATAGGGGGCTTATTTTTTATACATAGAAATATGTATTATAATTTAAAAAAAACATTAATTTTTTGACCATCAAGGAAGGCAAAGAGAAAGCTATCTTCCTGTTTAACTAATATTCCTATAATTATTATTATTTCATTTGATTGAAACTTCCAGACTGGGAGGGCATCATGTCTTCCATTATGTGGATAATGGAAGAGCAAAACCTTTATGTAAAGATGTATTGGCTGAAGTTACAAATATTTTTATATGTTTTATACGTTACCTGTTGGTTGTTCACAGATGTTTTAGGAAATCCAAAATTTAAGTAGCTCCATATAGTATGTTGCTACAGAAAAGTACAGATGATGTAATTCTACAGCAGCTTTGAAGGACTTCAGTGGTGCCTCAGTGACTGGTTCTATAGCACATTTAATCCTGTAGATATACAATGTATAACTTCCATTAGGTTGCTGAAATAGTCTTTTTAAATGTTCATCGTCAAATGTCAAAACTGGTCTAATTCTAGAGTCATCTGAAGTTGAATGTCTTTGTCAGAAAAAAATCCTAATTACCCCAGTAATCTGGCAAAATCATGATTTATCCAACTCATGTAACAAAGGGAGCTATGCTTTTTTCACGGAGTAAAGACAGCTTGTCATTCAGTAAAGCTATACTTAAAACGGAGAAAGAAAAGACTATAACTCTAGTTTTATCAGAAGTGATTAAAGAAGTGGAAGTAAGCTTCATTTATACTGTTCCATACCTAACTCTACTGTCTATGCCAGACCCACACTCTGCCCTGCAAAGTGCTCTGGTTTGTCTTGAGCAGCATTGCTGATCAATCAGCAGGAACATGCAGGCCACCTCATCAAACAAATTGAGGATATTTAGGCTGTGGAAGATTTTTGTGATGATAAAATGGAGTGCTGGAGAGCAGCATCTCAGGGCTGAACAGCTGACTTTCATTGACACATGCTTTAGCCATATAGTACTCACCTACATTTTACATATTAAAATCCTAACCTCTGGTGTGTTGAAAGTCCCATGTGTACGTGATATACTGTACTGTGAACTGTGGGAATGAACTGAACATCAGTGCTGGTCAAATGTATATTCATTAACCACACATCTACATCTTGGATTCAGTTCTTCTTTGGTCTTTAATTAACATGGTTGGAGCCTTTGTAGTTTCCTTTCAGTGTCAATATCCATCAAAACAATTGTCAGGCTACTAAGATTGTTTCCATATTTTTTGATGGGCTCTTTAATTTTCCAGGGTTAAAGAGCTGGTGCATTATATTAATATGCATCCCTTGATGCTGGCATATGCTTAACTGGGAGGTAAATTACAAAATAGATCTGATATTGAAGACAACTAAAGTTTGAGTATGATTGAAGAAGTAACTGTAGATATTGAAAAGAGCAAAAAGAATTTATTTTTTCTGTTAAACAAAAGGTCTATAAAAGCCTTTTCACCACCTTTGCATAACATTTGTGTGCAAGAGATTTGGATGAGGAAAACAGCTATGCAACCTCCTATAGGCTGGTGATTTACAAGGAAAAGATGAATTGGTGATGAGGGTACATTTCTGTGGAGAACTATCATGTGCATAGATTCCCCTTGGCTTCCCTTCCTTCTTTATCTTTTACTGAAACTCTGTTTTGCGGTCTCTGATTTGTTCTTCATGCTTCTGTCATTTCATCCAACACCCAGCATAGGGAGAACACCATATCTGTCATCTGGTGAACTTCAAGGAATCTTGACTCCCAGTGAGTAATACAATTCTACTACTGAAAGTTGCTCTTCCTGCCAAGCAATGGAGCTATTTCAGAGATCACATGGAACCCTTTGTAGTGAGGCCAAATTAAACCCCTTTAAGTACCCAAAATTCTGTGGGTTTTTTTACACTTTCTTTTAATTTGGGGGAAAAAAAGTGTTAAAAGAATACCTCTGAAAAGAAAATGAGGGCAGGTCAAAGGGTGTATTTTTTCACACTCTGAAAATGAGATTCATAATACCTAAAATGTTAAATTCAGCCTAAAATCCTGCTACTTACTATCTTTGGAATTTGATGGCAGCATTTCTTAGAATACAGACAAATTGATTCATTTGTCATTAAAATGTAGCTAAATTTAAACTGACAGCTACAGTATCGTAGATTAGTTTGAATTGGAAAGGACATTAAAGATACTTCCAACCTGCCTACCTGGGCAGGGATGCCTTCCACTAGACCAGGTTGCTCAATGCCCAATCCAGCCTGGCCCTGAACATTTCCAGGGATGGAAGAGCTACATCTCTTCTGGGCAACCTCTTCCAGTGTTTCACCATCCTCATAGTAAAGAATTTCCTCATAATGTCTTATTTAAACCTGTCCTCTTTCTGTCTGAAGCCATCACCCCTTGTCCTATTACTGCATGCCCTGGTAAAAAAGTCCCTCTACCACCAGTAGCCCCCCGTTAGGTACTGAGAGGCTGCTATAAGGTCTCCCCAGAGCCTTCTCTTCTCCAGGCTGGACAATTTCAACTTTCTCAGCCTTTCCTGATAGGAGAGGTGCTCCATCCCTCTCACCATCTTTGTGGCCTCCCTGGACTCACTCCAGCAGGTCCAGGTCCTTCCTGTGCAGGGACCCCAGAGCTGAGGCAGCCCTGCAGGTGGGGTCTCAGCAGAGCAGAGCAGAGGGGCAGAATCCCCTCCCTGGCCCTGCTGCCCACGCTGCTCTGGATGCAGCCCAGGACAGGTTTGGCTCTCTGGGCTGGGAGTGCCCATGGCTGGGTCATGTCCAGCCTCTCACCCACCAGCACCCCCAAACCCCTCTGGGCAGGGCTGCTGTGATCTGTCCATCCCCCAGCCTGGGCTGGTACCAGGGCTGCTCTGACACAGGTGCAGCACCTTGCACTTGGTCTTGTCAGATCTCATGAGATTCCCATGGCATGCCATACTTCAGCTGTGCTAGCTTGGTGTCAAGTGCAAACTTGCTGAGGGTGCAGTCAGTCCCATTCTCGATGTCACTGATGAGCATACCACTGATGTCCTTTGTGACTCTGAGCCTCTAGATGTGACAGTCCTGGACACCAACCAGGATATCCTTACCCACCAAACTGTCCATCCACTGAATCCATCTCTTCCAGTCTAGAGAGAAGTATGTTACTGAAGTATGTTATAGGGGACTGTGTCAAAGGCTTTACAGAAGTGCAGATAACTGACTTCCACAGCCCTCCCCTGTCCACTGATATAGTCACTCTATTGTAGAAGGCCATCTTATCACCATGTTAGTGATAGTAAAATGTTTTTAGATTTCTGTGCAATGCTGCATACCTGGTAGTGGTCATGGGGGAAAAAAGCTGTAAATTCTAAATTATAATAAAGGTTTTTCTGTCTCATATAATTTTATTTGCTAAGCAATTTACAATTTAAAATGTATTTTTTACATTATTTAGTGTTGTTACAAATACCTTCAGGTGTAAAGCTCCAAAGAACGAGGGATTCACGACACGTGTTCCTGCCCTTAATTAATGCTAGTTTTAGAGTAATTGCATTGAATCAACCAGTTCAGATCCAGATTGTAGTCTAAAAATTGATGAGAATAATCAGAGTATTAGAAGGTTTTGGAGAACTATACTTGAAGTTATGCACATTCTGCAGTGTGCAGTGTAGTGAGAGAAGTTACACATGCATTAATGCCATTAAGTTTAAAGGGATAGGTGGGCAGTGAAGATCTGGGGAGATGATGGGATAATGCTGAGTCTCTATTAGAGATATCTAATAGATGCTGTCTCTATTAGAGATGTGTTTATCTGACTCCACAACTGAATGCTGATTTTTGCCTAAGAAGACTTGCATTTTGCTTGCATATATCTATTAACAAACTTTCCTGCTCTCTGCAGCAACACACTCAGAAGAGACAAGATTTATCATGCAGAGTAACTTGTGTACATCCAAATGGGCACAAAAGGCAGCTTGTGTGCAAAGATAATGTGTACAAATTAGATTAACGATTTCTTCTCTCTGTCCTTCAGGGAACAACCCATCTTCAGCACCCGAGCTCATGTCTTCCAGATTGACCCAAACACTAAGAAGAACTGGGTTCCCACCAGCAAGCATGCTGTTACTGTGTCCTACTTCTATGACAGCACAAGAAATGTCTACAGGATAATCAGTTTAGATGGCTCAAAGGTACATTTTATTTCAGAAAACCTAGTTCTCTGAAACATTTTTGTTACTATTTTCTAGTCTGATGTTCTTCCTATTTCTTCTCAGATGTTTGTATCATTATCTGACCAACAGATTACGAAATTTTAAAAGGGCAACATTGCCTCATTATATGTTTTAAGTTTTTATTTGTAAATTCTGTTTTCCGTGTGGTTGTATTGACTTCAATAACTATTGCTGCACTGATGACCTGTTCTTTGGTTAATGCTATGAGAAGGCTAAAAAGACAAAAAAAATGTACAAAAAGTATGTATAGGGTTACAATAACTTGTTTTCATTTCTGTGCTCGGTCATTTATCAATATAATTAGCTTCAGTATTATGAAGGACATCTGTTCAGTGCCCATAATCACTTAGTAAATCCTTTGTTATGTAATCTTCCAATTTTTGCTGTAGAGAATGCCAGGATTGCCTCCTAATAAACCCTGCCTAATAAATGGTAAGCTTTTATCTAGACTCAGTTGGTTTGGTTTTAGTGGGTTTTTTCTGGTTTTTGTTTGTTTGTTTAGTTTGTTTGTTCCTCTGTTTTAACTAGAAAGGATATTGTGCTGAGTTGCTGCTTTTGTAAAACTTGTTATCTAAGAAATTAATTTGATGTGCAGAAAATCCTTGACTGTTTCTTACCACATAGCTATAATAGCAGTAACTTTACAAACAGTGTAGCAGAAAAATCTACACTAAGGGCATTAAAGATATACAGATTGTAATGAAAAGTTGTGATCCTTTCCAGAGACTTTCATTACAAGCTTTTGGAAATACATCAGTTCACAATGATTGGAAACAAAATACTCTGTTAAAGCATGATGGTATTCATGGAGATTTTATGAATACTTATTGAAAGCTGGAAATTATTACCCTGCATTTTTAAAATATCTAGAATATTGCTATTTTAAATGTAAAAGGAGATTTTCTGTCACAGAAAAGTATATAGAAATTGATCTCATAGTCAAAAATCTCTACTTCAAGTGGCTGAGACTGGAATCAGAGCCTAGCAGATTTTTTTCCAGCTTTAAGTCTTACTTTGTGCCTTCCTTCAAATGATTCAATTAGTTGTGTCAAATAATTAAAATGCCTTTTGAATCAGTATTTATGAATAAAGACACTGTGATTAGAACTAGATGATGTATGAAATCATGTTTATAACTACCAGTTTTAAAATGCAGTGCTTTAACTGATCTGGAGAATATACAAAATCCTTATTCTGACATCCACTCTGCCTTCATCCTGATGTTGCAACTCCTGCTGAATGCCTGCTGAATTAAATTGTCAAATAGTTGTTTACCTGTTTAGTTGTTCTTTTGTCTACTGAAGCATTCCCTTTACGTCCAGTACTAATGGCAAGGTATATTGATAACGCAGTTCATCACTTTTATTTACTCTGTGGGTGCTGCAATCCTAATAATGTTTTCATCCAAGTCTTAGATGAAGATCCCAGAAGAATTCCAGTCATGGTTAAGGGAGTCCCACTCTTTCAGGCATTCACAGCACTGCTCTGAAACATATAACATATTCTGGTGAATAGAAGGGATACATGGAAGAATCTTAAGTGGGTTTCCAGCCTAATTTCCAGAGAGTTTTTTTATTTTTACTTCAAAGCCCATCTTTTTTTTAGCATGTCTGTTTATATGCAATATTGTATGTGCAAAGAGTTAAATGTAAATATAAAACATTTTTGAGTGCACCCAGAGAGTCTTTGCTATATGGCATATAGCTGGGTGTCAGTAGCACTGCTGACAAAACATGTTGCAGTGGCCAAAACTGCTTGTCCAACCCTACTGGTTTTGAAGCTGTCATGACCCTCCCTCAGAGGGAATAGATCCAGACAGGTTTTATTGTATACCTGGGTGCTCATGGGGTTTACAGCATCCTGTGGGTTTGTATGGTGGAGAGAACGATGTGCTCAGTTCTCAGGTGCTGAACAATAAGTCAGTAAGTAAAGGCAGCTCACATGTATATTTACCTAGACTGCAGTAAGGAATGTTGGAGAGAGGTATACTTTAGATTTGAGTGGTAATCCTATTTCTGTCCCTCACTCTTCTCTCTTTAATTTGGTGCATTTCAGAAGCATCGTGGATAAAATTTAACTTCTGTACTGATTATCTGAGAGTCATTAAACCTTACTTCTTGGAAACAAAAGAACATTTAAGGACATTACCTTCACTCCCCTATTGTGCATTGGAGTTTCCAACCTGGATTTGCTTATGGAGTCTTTGGTTAATTTTGAAAGAGAGGGGTTTTTTCCTTATTTGAGCTTGAATTAGCCAAGACAGGTCCTACAGATGTAACTTATGCTTACTTTTAATGCATTTTGTGTAATGTTTTCTGAAGCTACAGTCTCCTCTTTAAATATCTTGCACCAGATATGATGCATGTCCCTCTATCTTGACTACAAAAAATGTTCTAGGACCATAAGGTGTTCAGTGTACAGGCTATATATTTGATAGTTATGCACAGTATTTGGAGCCCTGTTGCCCATGGCAGAGAAATCTTGATGCAAGTAATCTGATACAATTTGAATCTGTTTTCTCTGACCTCCTGAGTAAATATCTTTTATGTGAACTTTTTCTCCTACCAGTTTTGGAATCAAGAGGAAGCCTGAAAAATAAGATTTCTTAGGTAGTATGGCATGGCAACATTGAGCAGTTGTTGCTAAGGCTTTCAGTTCTCATTAAGTATATACTCATTTCAGAGTTCTTTGGAAAAATGTCTTCTAGTACTTCTTTCTCTTGGGTGATGGAACAAAGCTTCCATTATTTCTCCAGTACCGGCAGACGTTAGGATTATTCCAAGTCCCGCTGTCTTTTCCATTTTGTCTCTCACCATCTCTGAGAAAAGGAAGGAGGTCAAGTATATTGTGGTTCTTGCTGTGCTAGTTAATTCTCTGATAATTTTTTTTCACAGATACAAGGTAGAAAAATGAACTTAAAATTTCATATTCATCTAGAACAAGAGAAGATGTTGGAAAAGAGTGGTTTCCCAGTCTGCAAGTTCCATGAACCTTGCATTTGTTATTATTCATTCAAGTCTCCCATCAGTGTTACTGCAGATGATCTTGTTATATTAATTACTGTCTCACTTTAAAGTGACAATCTTTTAAATGTTTTAAGTAAGATCTGTATGCACAAGTGTTCAGTGATTTTCCTTTGAAGAAGTTAAAAAGTTCTGTGTCTTAAACTATTATTGCCATAAGTTTTAGCACAAGATAAAATCATATTTGACCACTACTATATATCTTGCAGCTGTTAGGTTTGCAGTCAGTAAAATGAACAGCTCAGACATATGCCCTACTTTCTCATTGCTAAAGTAATATGAAAGGGAAACTTGAAAGCCATTTTATAATTCCAAAAAACCCTGAAGATAACTAAACCAGTTTTCTTCAAAAGCTAAATGTCTTCCTGTTAGATTGACTCTGTTCTGTTTTTAAGATGTTCTTGTTCGTTTATGGAAACAACATTCTTAAAAGTTGATGAAATATTTGACACTTGTTATACTGGTAACTCTGCAGTGAAATACAGATTAGAGGAGCACAGTTAAAGCAGTACCCATTTGAATGGACAAGACAGGCTTAATTATAAATTTTGATCTAAAATATAAATGTTTTTTTTTTAAGCTAAATATACAAGGGCTTGGTATCTAGTTCTTTCCCGAGGTAGCTGATACTGGACTGTATTTGTAGGATGGCCTATCATTATACTTTTGAAAGCATGTGGAAAAACTTTTTTTCCTTGTAAAATTAGTAAATTCAGTGAAAGACTTTTTTTTTTTTTTTTTTTTACTACTGGGATCTGCATGTAGTCTTCCCAGTGTTTTGATTAATACTGTCTACTGAATACTGAAGTGAAACATCTTTATTTTTCTCTCTTGGAAAAAAAAGGGAAGAATCACAGCCAACTATCTCTCAACACAATTATTTTTAAAAAGTTTTCTTTCTTCTTTTCTCTCTCTCAAGAAAGTGGTTTTACAGTCAACATAACCTACCCTAAATGCAGACTGCTGTCAAAAAAGCTATCCAATTCTGGACCAGGCACCCTGTTGAGGTTTTCCATGCTGCAGCCTGTCATGTGGTCAGCAGAAGCATTTCTCCCAGGTTTTTGACTAGGTTAAGCTGCAACCAGCTATGCTGCTGTCGCTGCAGGAACGCAGTTATGAAGGCTTTAAACCTGTGTTTTTCTTGGAGGTCTTAGCTGTCTGGCATTGGAGTTTTCTTCTGACCTGAGGAAGTTATGTCCATGACATAATACTCAAATATGTGATGCAGGTTTCAATTAATCAACCAATGGATGGGCCTGGTCTTAAGCAGACTAGACAACATAGCTAGAGCTTGAGTTGGGAGGAAAATTCTGTTCTACACAGTCCTCAAGATATTTAATTTAAAGCACATTACTGATGTCAGCTTCCACAGGAAGTAAGATTGAGCATTAAATAAGCTTGCACAGCTCTGTTTTGGGCTTCCACCTGTTTTTTCAAAAGTGGGCTTCCAACCACTAACAGTGCAAAAGAAGATAAGAAGCATACAAGTAAAAAAGAGTTCCACAGCACCTCTTTTCTGAGAAGTCCTGTCTCACAGGATTCAATATTCTCATTCTCTCAATATTTCAGTTCTCTCAATATTCAAATTCAATATTCAGTATTCTTTATTTTGTCCTGTGTGCTATGGACAAGACTGTTTTCAAGGTGGTCAGTTGTGATTGTGCAAGTAGAAGTCTGATATCATTATTTGACCTCCAAACCTTATACCTAAACAAAGGAGAGTCATGTTTCGTGTATAGGGACTTCACTGAGCAGCTTCTATATGAAATCTGAAGGATGTCTTTCAGGCAGTGCTAGAGATGGTTCTCCATTTTCTGGTTACACAGCAAATCCTCTCTTTGATCTGATAAGGCTTCTTGGCTCAAATGTAAGATTTCAGGCCTTCCAGAATTTTCAAGGAGTTGTTCACAGTCATAGGCAAAATTTGTACTTAGAGGCAAAGGTCATCAGAAAGAATTGGCTATGTGCAGATTTGCTCATCTTCATTAATGTGAGTGGCAGTGAATCTGCCAAAGTTACCAAGAAAGAGTTTTGTTAAATTTATCTGTGCTGCAGCATGTTTGTCTTTCTACATGTTGTAATTCAATGTATTCTCTTGAACTTCCTTGCTTGAGAAGGACACTCTTCTCCAACATTTCATGTAAGAATCACCGTATGATTTGTGCTATTTGTGAGCTTGGCTGGCCCCTTAGATTTAATTTTTTCAGTCTTGCCCTGTAGAATTCATAGAAAATTTTAATTTGCTCCAGTGGTACCCAAATCTCTCAGCAAAAAGCAAAGGGTGCAAAGTAAACTGCTTTAAATAACTAGCTATTTCAATATCCATCCAGAAGTCCATATCACTCAAGTAGTATTGACTGATTTTGACTTCTAGAGGATCTTGATCTTAGGAGAGCAGTTCTTGGTCTCTATGTTGTTAAAGTTTCTCAGTTACCATCCTGAGAAAATAGTGTTACATTCTTCACATCTGTACAGTTTGTGCTTCCATATGTACTCTTTAATGTGATGGAAATACTGTTTAAATACACAGTGAAACTTCAATGAAACAAGCTTATCACCTAGTAATTGCATTTTGTGTTTGTATTATCAGAAGTTAAATGCTAGAGGATTTATGTAAATGCAAGAACAAGAACTAGAGAAAAATATTATAACAAGAGTAGCTCCACTTCTGTAGTTGATGTATGACCCTTGTTATCCTCACTTGTATGTGTGTGAAGGAAACAGACTCTTGTAGAACAGAATTTCATAAATTCATAAAGAAATTCATAAAGAAAATGTGCTCCTTTGTTTTATTGAGTTTTTTTTCAGTGAGAATCTCATATGCAACAGGGGTTGGGGGAGAGCAGCAGTGGAGTTGACAGACAACTTGAGAGGCGCTGTCTTAGGGGACAAAGAAATACAACTGTGAGACATAAAAGGACTTTGATAGTCCTTATACGTAGAAACTTTAAAGGATTGCTTGCAATTGTGAATTGATGTCTACTCCCCTCCCCATCTTTTCCTCCTTTTACCCAATGTGTGCAAAAATACTCCTTTGCAATTTTAGCTGGGATTGAACTAGAAACCTGTTTTCTGTTTCCCAGTGTGTGTCTCATTCGGTGTATTCAGAAAATTGCCTACAATATTGGTATTTTCAGTTATGATTGGCTTTAAAAAAAAAATAAAAACCACTAAGCCCATTTTTTACAATTATTACCTTTTTCAGGCAATAATAAACAGCACCATCACCCCCAACATGACATTTACTAAAACATCACAGAAGTTTGGCCAGTGGGCGGATAGTAGGGCAAATACAGTCTATGGCTTGGGATTTTCATCTGAACATCACCTTTCAAAAGTAAGTATGACCAGTGGCAATGTTTCAGCTAGTGAAGCTACTTACGTGTATTTTATTCTTGCTCATCATATCTTGACTCAGTACTCACTAGTGTTGTTATTTAAAAGTAATTTTCAAAAAAATATTCTGTCTGAATCCTTAAAATGTAAAAGCACAAGAGTAAGTGTGATATCTGCAAATTTTCTTTTAACCGATGAAAGAGATTAAAGCGAGATTAAAGCCTCTTACACTTTGTTATTAATGCTTAGTAATTACTGATTTGTTAGGTTTTTCTTTTTTAAAAATTGTTCTTCCATTACAGTTTTTCATGATAGAAAGTAAACAGTTTGGTGGTTCTTGTGTATTTAGATCTCTTAGAAAAAAACTGCTGGTAGTCTTCAAATGTATTTTTGTCTTTTAGGCTACATTCACTTTCACTTTTCTATGATGTAGTACATTAAATTACTGTTATTTCGAAGTTTGCAGCCATAAAAAGATAATTGTAAAGCTAATGGGAAATAAATTCAGTGTAAAAGAAAAATACATTGTCTACTGGAATGCAAAAGTTGAAATGTTTGTTAAAGCAGTATGTGCGATACATAAGTTTCTTTTCTAGTCTACTTCTGCAGGAAGGAAATAGACCTCATTCCAAGAAAAGGAGCAATCCCTGTTTCTCAAACTGATGGCATAGGTCCTCTGAGCATCATTTCTACATTACTTTGTTTTTGCTACTGCCCTGGCAGATGAGTCCAGGAACCTGTAAATGTGTTTTTTCTTCAGTGAAAGTTTAAAAACTTGTCTTTATATTAAGCAGAAAATTTTCATATTTGAGTTAAAAGGTTTGGGCAGCCAAGTGCAATAAGAAATGTCCATGTTTCAGGAAGGAATAATGGTGGCTAACTGTTTGAAGGAAGAGTAATCAAAGCAGCCCTTTTAGGAAAGGACTTGTCATGATCCAAGGATAAGCACAGCCTGCCAGAAAACCATTAAAATGAGACCCAGTATAGCTACTTTATTTTGGCAAGCATCAAGCTTGTAAGATTTCTTCCTTTTATAATCACTTGGTTTTCCTTTCCACAAAGCAGCACTAACACAGGACGTTCTGAGTGATTCTGGCATTGTATATGTATTTGCACACTTATCATTGCTTCAGTGAACTTGTAAACCTTGTCAGTTAATTTAGTGTGTAGAAGCACTTGCTTACCAACATGGTAATAACTTCTCTTAATATTTCAATGGCTGTAGCACAAATGCTAGTCTAGCTTACTACTCTTGTAGACTACCTTGTTTTTCTTACTCACAGGTGATTCTTTGAAGGCAAAGCATCCTGCTGTAGTCATTCACACTCTGTTTGCCTGACTTCGAGTTCTAGGTTATCCTTGCCAGTGAAAATACATTGGGTTTTTTTTAATCTGCTTTGTCCTCAACTCTTCTTTTGTCCTCCCTCTGTCTCCTTTTTAATTACAGTTCTTTCAACTCCCTTCTTTTCACTGCCCTCAAGCAGATGTCTGGGACTTTTAAATATGCCTTTGACATAAAGGTGTATAATGTTGTTAAAAAATTCATCTGAAAGGCTACTGTAGACATTTTTTCTCAATTTATTCTTTGCTGAGCTGTTACTCAGAGTGCTGTTTTATGAAGAATAAGCAAATTTATTAAGAAAAAACACAAAATCACAGACCTTTTCTGAAGATTAGGGTGAATCTATGGGTCCTTTTCATCATTACTGTTCCTGTTGTATTACATCTTAATAATTAAGCTGATATTCATGTGAGTTGCAATAGCCAATTTAGTTGCTACTTAAATTCCTAAAGATTAAACCTTTTGTGTTACTTAAAAAATTATAAACATATTTATGGGGAAAGAAAACTTTTCTTTAGATTAAAAGCTGTTCAGCAACTGGAATTGGTAGTGATATTTGGTTGGGAATCAAAAGACCTGAATTAGATCTGCCCTGTAACTTTAAAGAAATTGTATCTATATTCTCTTTCTTGTTTTGTTTCTCCTTCAGATTACTTACTCTCACTTCTGTGCATCACAGCCAGGTTTACCAGAGCACTCTGATACAGCTAGCACTTTAGGATTTTAAGTGTTTTAAGTTCCAGGAAGCAAAAGGCAGCCTGCAACCACAAAAAAAAGCTGGTCTAGTGTATGACCAATTTCCCCAGTTTAATGATGCAAATAATCACAGCAGATAAAGTAAACTGTTTATTCTCACATTATTGTCTGCATATCTTGTAGTACATGTTTGACTTTTGTGCTATTTGTTTTTTGTGCTCATGCCCCTGTCCTTCTGAACTAATTGTTAGGGTAGAGTGCAACAATGGCAACCTCTTTTCTGTACAATTATTGTGAATAGGAATTAGTGGAGTGAGACTGTCTGATGGAAAATTAATGGCTGTCTAATCTCCACATACAAACAAAGTATAGAGGAAAATTAATTAAACATTTATATCTGTTCACTAGGCCTTTTATCAATGTTATACCACAAATTCATCTCAAGACTGCTCCATCAGATGTTGGTGATACTTGAAAGATACCTGTTTTGGAGGATATTCACAGGACCACAATTTGTTAGCAGAGTCCCTCTTACTGCTGCAGTAGGAGAATCAGAATGTCCTCTCACTTTTAGGAGAAGTTGAGACTACTTTCTCATTTAGAATACATCTATGCTTTTGATAGTATCCTGATATATGAGAAGAAATACTCCTTTTAGGGTTTGCTCCCTTATCATCTTGCTTTTCTTACCTGGTTTATTTATTAAAACTTAAAGAATATGCTAAGTGGAAAGTGCCACCATGGTTACTGGCAGCAGCCTTATGTAGTCTCCATGCACAATTTTTCACCTTTTTTCTTAATAAGGTGATCTTCCAGAAGAATTCTCCTTTCATACCATGAGATGTCATCCTTGTTATTGAGGAATTTTATCAAGAGAGAGCTGTAGTGATTATCCATCACCTGTTTGTCTCAAAGAATGCTAGAAGCTTTGTGAAAATCTCAACCAAACTGGGCTTTTTGGCTCTTTCTTAGAATACTGTCTATTGATCTATGATATTTTTTTTAAATGTTTCTATGGCTGTTATATTTACTGCCTTTTTCTTCAGCCATTTATTCCAAACCTCAGCATCATATTTGCCATTTAATAATTCTCTGATCTTAAGGCTGATTTAAATAATTACCCATGAGATTTTGAGGTTTAGGCACAAGCCTTAAAAAAGTATTATCCGGTTCTGGTGATCTGTTGCCAATTTCATCATCTGTTCTGAGACTTGTTTTGATGCTGGATTAAATATTCAGGAAAAAAAGGCTTTCAAATAACATAACAAATGAAAAACAGAATACAAGTAGAGAGAAATTACATTTCCTCTGATACTAGTAGCCTACCAGAATAAGCCTTAAAAACAGTAGGGTTTTTTAGGTCTTGCGTAGTAAATGAAGTTCTGATTGAAAATGATTGGTGAAGTTGTACCACACAAAATGTAGCCTTTGTACCTTATATATATATAGAGTGCAAAACTATTTCTTCATATGATGCTGCCAAAGAGATTTAGAAGCTTCTGGAAAAGTTTCTGATGTTTTTGCAGAATAATTTCATTCTTTAGCTGATCATATTAAGATAATGTTCTGTATAAAAGCAGTAGGACACAAAAACAAATGTGTGGCTGGCTTCTCTAGCAATTAGTGTAGTGGAAAGATGAGAACTATGAAGCCAATCTCTTTTCTATCCAGAGAAACCAGGCCCTATTCTTAACAAATTGATTTAATCTTTCAGGATTAAGGGGGCATATATTTCTAAATTGCTGCTTTAGCTATTTTCTGGAATAGGTACATGTAGCATAGAAATAAAGCCTCATAAGGCAGTTCCATGTGCAGTTTAATGATTTAGTGTTCAGTGTAGGCAGTTCTAGTTCAATGAATTTGTTCTTTAACTTGATTGATGTCAATTAACTTTCTAGAGATGAATACAGTATTTCCTTTTGTTTGCTTTTCTAATTAGCTATTTAAATTAAAAATGCAGTTAAAATTTGGGAAGAAATCAGTATTGTTTCAGTCATGAAAGAACAAATTGCATTGAAAGCTTTCCAGGCTCATGGTGACTGCATTAGGCTTCAGAAACAGATTATGTGTTGTTTGAGGAGGGTAAAATCTGAATCTGAAAGCAGCTATGCAAGGCAGTTTGTCCCTATTATTAGCCATTTCTGAGGTAAGTTTCTTAAAACTACCAGCAACAGATCATGCTTCATTGCATTGTCATTTTCCTGACATGTAAAGAGTGTGTATTATGCCTGAAAGATATGTCACTGTGCAACTCATTTAAATGAATATCTAATAAGGAGAAAAATTTTAAAAATTACTGACAGAATTTGACTTTGTGAAATGAAAAGTACAGCATTCTGTTCCGCATGTAATATATTATTTCACGCCTACTCTTTCTCTCTTTTCTTTTTTTTTATTCTTTTAACATATGTACCTTCAGTTTGCTGAAAAATTTCAGGAGTTCAAAGAAGCTGCACGAATAGCAAAGGAAAAATCCCATGAAAAAATGGAGCTAACAAGTACACCTTCTCAAGTGAGTCTTATTACCTGAATCAAGCATCATACTTCTTGTCTATGCTGCTTACTATATTGTTCCTTACATACATATGTGTTAAAAATTAAAGATTAAAATTAAGAGATTAAGATTAAAAATGAAAATTAATTTCTTAGTTACTGTGAATCCTCTCATTGGTCAGAAAGAGTGTCAAGAAAATAAAATACTTAAAAATACTTTTTGACATATACTGCAAATAAGTTGAAAGGACTTGCTTTATAATAAATTTGGGTGTTTTTTATATTCCTTTTCCTTTATTTCAGCTTTCCCAAGAAAATTAATAAACATGATTATGTAAATGAGCTATACTAAACACTTCTTGTACTATTTCCCATTGTATCCACTAAACTTCTGGTGGTGCACTGTAATTAACTTCTATAGAACAATTATTGCACCAAAAATAAAGGTTGAAACAGCAAACTATTTTTACTTATTTCCTACTGTGTAGTTTTCTCTTGTGAGATGCATTGAAGGAAGACAATACATTAACAGGCTGGTTCTGGAGTTTTATTACAGTTATCCATGATGTACAGGGAGAGTTTATAAAAAGTGTCTCAAAACATGAACTGAGTTAATTTAGGCATGATCAGAGAGTCAGTTACTATATTCATATTTATATTAATTATGACTAAAATTAATTATAAGTACTTTGAATTTGCTTTGAAAAAAGTAATCCCTTGAGGCTTTTATGCCCCATCTCCTGTATTCCCCCTGCCCAAGATTTTTGACTCAGTTAGCTTTGTTTTAAGCAGTAGTGGAGACAATGGCAAATCCTTCTCTTGGAGAATGCAACAGCTTCAAAACTACAGCAGGGATTCCTGAGTTGAGTAGACTGAACCTTTTTTCTGGGGAGTCTTTTTTCATTGAATCAGTGTATCTTCAGTGCTTTTTACTGTAATAGGCTCCTGCTCTTTGATGGAGTAAGGATGGCAGGCATTTTGCAGCATGCTGCACAAATAGTTTTATTGCTACCAGAAAGCTACATCTGGTGTCCAAGCAAGAGAAGTCAGTGGAAATCAGAACATACACAATGAACAAGCCTCATGTTTTCCCAATAGGCATTTTGCCCAAATGCTAGGCTGGCTATTGCTGCTAATGGGAAGCTGCTTGCTCCACTGAAATGGAAAGAAAATAAGGCAGGGAGTTTTATGAGTTTACTTTACTGTCTCTAAATTTCTGACAAATTCTCAGAGACAATGGGAGTATGTATTTCAATATTTTATGCTTGTCAGTAATATACACTTGACTTTAGAAACAGTGAAGTGCTTCACCCAGGCCTCTAGTTACTTGATGTTATAGGCAAAAAAATTATTATGCTTCTCTTTTGACATGTTGATTAATAATTTGGACTCAGAAGTTAAATCCGACACTGTCACATAGAGTGACTTATTATGTGGTTTGGATGTAAATTTGAGCTATTCACTCAGAGACAAGATGCTTTTGTCTTGCAGTTCATCAGGGTTAAAACTTTCTCCTAAACTGTGTGAGCTATTAATGTTAATTTTCCTGTACTGAGTTCTTTTTACAGTTGAAACCTAACATTTTACACTGTAGGCAATTACAGAAATGTTACTCTGAGTGATTCTATAGTGCCTATTGAGGGCTGCAATTTCATTATGGCACACTTAAGAATAATTTCCAATTCAGGCCTTACTTTTCTTCTCTTGGCTTTTCACTGTGTTGATAAGCTAGTGTATTATTCTGAGTAATACAGTTAGTGCAAGTGCTGACACATGAGCATAGTAGTCTTCACATACTAGTTCCCTAGAGAGAAGGGAATCAAATCAAGAGCTTCAGAGTTTAGAACAGATAAGAAGTGTTGGCATCATGGCAAACTCCAGCACTTCTGTGGTACTGGGCTCATTCAGTTGGATTTATGACTGGGGGGAGGATGGGTGCTTGGTACTAGGGAGGGAAGGTGGGGCCGTAGAGAGCACCTGCTTTCATTTTTGTCATCTGCTAAAAGATGGCTGCAAGGCAAACAATTCAATTGTTGCCTTTCTGAATCCTTTTAAAGCTCTTCTTCCCCTTTTGCATAGTGATCCATTGCAGAGGGTGAGGGTGAAAGAGGAATGAGATATTTTTAATGGTCGGTAAACACTTTGCAGGAACCTGGCTTTTTTAATGGCCTTTTTGGCAGCATTAACAAATAATCCCAAATTGACATTGGGAGGTATATAAATTCTATAATGGTAAATTAGTTATCTAAATGGATCCGTCCCTCTGCAGTCTTGGACATGCAGATATCTTTCTGTGTTAAATTTGTAATAAGTAGGAAAATACTGTATATCAAAACTGGAAAATATACATATCAAACTTAAATAGAATGTTTTATTTCTGTTGGTACAGCTTTTAAAAATGTCATTATTTACCAGTTAATCCAAGTACTGGCTATGGTACAGTTCTCACCCTCCCTACCACAGAATTCTAAAAGAGTAAAAGTACACTTTTCTGCCTCAGTATGCCCTTACAGATTGAATCTTTAGGAAATCTCTGTACAACTGTGTAACAGAAACACTGCACAAGACGTTTGATGTTCACTGTTGTTTGATGCAAGCCTGAAAATACCTCTGCCATATGTAAGTTTCAATTCTGAATCCCATTCAAAAACTTGGCAAACTGCAGAGAAAGAGAAATCAAGAGATAACAGCAAAAATATCTCAGAAATTTGGTATGTATTTGTAGTTCAAGTATTTCACAGACTCTAGACATGTTAAAACTTAAGAGAAATTTTGCCTAGAGTCCACTGGAGTTAGGTTGATTCTGTCAGGTGTTATGTGCTGTAGCAAAGTGTTGCTCCTATAAAGTGCAATGGCCTGGAGGTAGAAATTCCATGGGTTTTTCTGATATTTTGTTTCATTTGATGAAATATATTCTTTGGATTCTTTTTTTAATTTTTTTTTTTTTTTTTTTGTGTGTGTGTGTGTGTGTGTGAAACACATGTAGAAATAAAACCATACATAGCCTAATTTGCAGTTACTAAATAGCAGGAGTTCCTTTTCCCCTAAGCAATGCTGGTACAAATTTCAAACTCTTCATTCTCCCTGATTCTTTAATATTCCCTGTTGTCTGGCTGTCTACCAGCAGACTTTAATCTTCCAGAATATCAGATAATAGATAAAATCATCATTTACCTTAACTATAAAGAGAACTTAACTTGTTCAGAGAAGGACAGTGGCCTGGACCACCAAATTAGGAGAGAGATGCTGCTTTGTTATATAAAAGTCCCATTGTGTGCACTGCGCTTCCTTGAGATGAAGAATAACACATTGTTTCTGTGTCAGAGAACCTGTACTTTAAAGTCGTCTGTATGAAGACAGATTCATATCATAGTACACAATTTATCTATATTTGGTATGTCTGGAGGCTTTGGTCTAGAAAGAAGTTATCTATTTTAGGACTTCCAAGACCACCTATGCACATAGCTATATCATCTGGTGTCCATTTAACTGAGCCTTAGTTAATAAAAACTTGCAATCCTCTTACCATGTTTATTTAAAGCTGAAATACTGGCTCTCCTGCTCTACCAGCTTCTATTTCCCAGATCCATCTTGTAATATAGGGAATCATTTTGCTCTTGTCATAAATTCATGGATCTTGCAAGCTGTCCATAGTCTATTCTCAGTTACAAGCTTCCCCATGCACTTACACTTAGATCTGGAGTTCACTGAGCTGCATGAAGCAGTAGCCTGACAATTGTGTCCACCTTCCTGCACCTCTTTTATTTATTAAAAGTGACTTCAATTAAGGTTAAGTGAAGAACCAAATAGAGCAGCTTGTACAGTTTTCAGTTGCACCCCATCACTCTTGAAAGGCTTCATCCCAATCAGTTGCCATCAGAACCTCAGTTGTTTTTTTCGAAGGATGACTATATTCTGATAACTTTTTTTTTTACCCTGGTCATTTCAGAGCAAGACCTTTTTGGTTTCTGAAATTGTGGGATGGGTAGTTTAGAATGGTCTTGCCTGTGATTCTGAGCACCTCCCATGCAAACTGTTAGGAATAACTATTGCCTGAAAAGTTTTACAATCAGATTTTTTAATGCAAGACGTGTTTGGTTTTGGTAAAACGATCCTGGTTTATAATTTTTTTGTCAGTTTCTCTGACTTTGTAGAAGTACAAAATTTACTTCAGGCTTGTAAAACAGGTCACTTTCATAACATAATTTATGTTATGAATAATGTAAGTTCCATGCTATATGAATTTCTGCAACAAATGTTCCATACATGTTAGGGTGGTGGTAGCCGGCAGGCTTAGTGCCATTGCCAGCCAGTGCAGAGAAGCACTGTGAAGAACAGCTGTGCCGGGGAGGCGTATGGTATCCTTACTGAGACAACTTACTCAACAACTAAAATTACATAAAATAACAAAACAAAAACTTGTTTTTGTTAGTTCATGATTTTAGAACCACTGAGTTATTTTCTTTCTGTTCCTTTTAGTTATCACTAAAAGGTAGTTTGATCTGTGCTGTAATGTCTACTTGTTTAATGACTCTATCTGTATGTGGGTTTATTTTTTTTAAGATGTTGAAATTTAAGATGTCTTTTGATGAATACCCCACTATCGTGTTTCATTTGAATACTGAATATCACAATGTTATCCTCAATTTTGTAAAACCTGGAGTGGACATGTGAAGTTATAATGGTATGCAATAAAAACTTCATTACAGATGCACATCTCACAAAATGTTTCTAAAATACTTTTACTCCTCTAATTAATATAAAATGGGAACATATTATTTGTAAACATTTGTGAAAAAATCTTTTCAGTATAAGTGGCTTTTCTATTATATTTGATGCCTTATTCATAGTCAGCTGCATTAGAGTTGTCTGCAAATAAATTACTTATCAGGCAGGGGTAGTTCTGAATGTGTGAAAGCCCTGATAAACTGTCATTTTAGTAGAAGAGAAACACATTGAAAACTGAAGTTTCTTTTGCTCATGAATTTGCAGGCCATGATCTTTTAACTATTACATAATTAGGATGTTTTTCTACCTTAATTTTTGTTACTTCAATTTCATTCATATTAGAAGTCTGTGGAAGTCTGTGGAAGTACTTTATTGAAAAATAAGCCTAGATGGAACTTGTACGTTTTTTTTTCCTTCTATTGAAATATTTTTTGTGCATTCACATTTAAAACATTTTAATAAACTCTGATTTTATGTATCTGGTATAAGTGTGGCATAGGATTTTTATCTTAAAGATACAAGCTATCCAGATTTTTTAGGCTGTGGTATGTCATTTTTTAGACTATATAATGTAGATTGGGAAAAAGAAAAAATAGAAGAAAAACTTTCAGATGCAGAAAGTCTTTCATTTATTGTCAATGGAAACTGTGTATCCTATTGGATGCTTATAATATTAACAATAATAATAGTAGTAGTAGAAGACAAAACCATGTCATTTGTATAGAGTAATTTATTTTCCTCTTTAAATTGTCAATTCTGTTCTTTTTCATGCTTAAATGTACACACAAACGTGCATGCTGGTGTGATGAAGGGTAATGAAAGCCATGGCAGTGCCTTCTGCAACCATTAAAGTTCTTCAGGTGTCCAATTGCATGTGTATCTGTACACTTAGGTGTAGCTGGATTATCTTCCTCCCCAAATAATACTATAACCAGCAAGAGCTAGGCCAGACTAGCACGCCTATGAAAATTTTTTGCCTGTACTTTTCTGAACAAGTATTCTTCACAGATGGCTCATAGGTGAAACTGAGAACATGCCACAAATGGCCCTCCCTCTGTTTGCTTTGGTTAATTAACAGCACAAAAGCTAGATTTTGAAACAAATACCAGAATTGTTTGTTTCACTGCATTAGAATGTAAAGTACAAGACAAGATTTCTGAGTGTCAAGAGTCATCCACCATGTATCAGAATGAGGGTGGAATGTAATTCCAGGTATGAGAGAGGTCTGTAATAAGTGGAAGGTAGGAACTTGCAAAGAATTCATAGGCCACATGTGTTTCATACAGGATAATGTGAATCTTTTGGTAATATACTTTTATATTAAATACACATGGTGATATATGACTATGAGGCATGTTGGAAATCTGAACATTATATTAATACTAACCAAATTTTGTGTATTGTTTAAGAATTAATGTTAGTGCTTTTATGTACATAACCTTTCTGGGCAGGTCAGTTTGTAATTTTAATGTGTTGTTTGTTTCATTTAAGGAATCAGCTGGAGGAGATATTCAGTCTCCTTTAACTCCGGAAAGCATTAACGGGACAGATGATGAGCGAGCGATGCCAGAAGTGACGCAGAACTCAGAACCAAGGGCTGAACCAACACAGAACGCATTGCCATTTACCCATAGGTACAGATTCCATTCCCACATCCTGATTAAGTGATACCTATCTCCTTCCTTGTTAAAGGGACCTTCTCCCATGTTTGGCGAAACAAAGCAAACCCACCTCTCACCCCAAAAATGGACTCACTTTTGGATTTGTTATATTTTTTCTAATTAAAAAAGAAAAAAAGAAAAAAAATCTCTTGGAGTAAGATTTGGGGAAACGTAGTTTAATCAGCCCTTGAATACTGGTTAGTGTAGGTGTCCCTTTAACAGGAATCAATATTTCAATGTCTGAGCTTTTAGTAAAATTACCTGCTTCATAGAATATTCCAATTAAATTATTTTTGTACACATTCTTTAAATGGCTGGTGGGACTGGATGTCAACCTTTCATTGAAAAGTTCTTGGAAGAAAAGGGACTCTTACACCATTTTGGGATTATAAAGTTTAAAGCAGGCTTTAACTGAGCAATTCTCTGAGCAGTTCTCTGAGCAGTTCTTCTCTACAGTTGTAAAATTTTTCAACTTTTTTTCAAAATATGTGAGAAGTGCAACTCTGCTTCAACTGAATTCTAGTTTTTGCACTAGGAATGCTGTTCTCTGTTCTTTGAGAAAGGTAGGACTTTTTATTTAATTATACAAATGATAAGTTACAATGGCTATATCTTGCCTATTGTAAAGGAATTGCTCTCAATAAAACACATAATTTATTGGGACCATGGAGAGTAAGTGAAACCTTTAATAAAGTTACAACACAGCTAGAAATACGAAATTTATTTTTTAAGCATTGTGTAATTCAGAATTTAAGAGCTCTTGATCAAAGTTTGGGGAATACTAGCGCTTCAGATATGTAATGCAATTCAAAGTGAGCACAAGTGAAACCAAAATTGTGTAGAACATCTCAGTTTTTGTAAGAGAATAATACTGTTAAGCATCTGGAAAAAAATATGCATTTTTCAAATGAGAGAAACACTCTTACACTATTTTTTTTCAACAGAGTGATTCTGTTTATTTTTATACTGTCACCAGTGCATGTATTATATGTTTCAGAAGAAATGGTGCATTGTGAGAATGCTATGTGCATGGTGAAGGAGTATTACAAATGTTGCAGATCAATCTGTGTTCTGTAACAAGTTTGTTTAAACTGTTTGAGTATCAAAATTTTCTATCAATATTTTTGTGAAAAGGAGTTGTGATAAAGTCCACACGTGAATAGTGTGGTTTGCTCCTTTAAAAAAATGGTAGTTTGAAGATGTCCCCTCGGGTTCTGCAAATGTAAATATGTTTTGTGGAATGCCAATGTAGTAACTAAGTTTGCTCTCCATTGAACATTACTGAAAACACCTTTGAAATCCTGTTGTCATTTTTAATGTTATAGAAAAGAGTTTACAAAACTTTTACATGCATTGCATTTTTCTATCTACTTAATGTACACAGTGTGAGTGCCTAATTTTAGGTTTTTGTCCTGTTAGATATCAGTAGCTAGAATTAATCTTCCAACAATAACTGCATTTTGAGGTTTACTTCTTGTTCATTCTCAAAAGACTGGTGTTTTGTCCTGCTAATGGTAGCTTCAAGTTTGTTAGTGAACTATTACTGAAGAAAACCCAAGTTTATAAACCTCTTTGAAATAAAGTAAATTTTGGAATAGGTAAGGACTTTATTATAAATAAATAAAGATGCATGAAACACATGCACAAAGGAGATGAAAAGTGAAGCCTCCAGGACTGTGTTAATCCTGGTTAAATGGGCATGTTTTTCTAGAGGTTTTCATAATAATAAATTGGCAAATAGGTAGACACACCTATCTGCTTGTTCTGCCTAAAAGGGTGCTCTCTGCAGGCAGTCTGCTTGCTCTGACTTACAAAGAAAAAAAATTTAAAACTTTATATCCTAATTATTGGAGACTTCCTGGATTTCTCATGTGTCTGGAGTACAGAAAGGAACTGTGCTTCCCATTGTTCCCTGCCTTTCTGATGAGGTAGTGTGTTTGTGGCACTCCGTGTGCGATGGAGAAGAGTTGCTGAACTGACCCCTTTCCTTTTGCACCCTGGTAACTTCTGCTGATCCTGAACCTTTTCCTTCTGCATCCTACGTTTCAGCAAAGGTAAAGTTTAGTCAGCACTTCTGGGTGAGGAGGGTAATGCTGCAAGGACATTTGAGTGTTGTCTTGTTTGTGGCATTTCATTTATTTGCCTTTAGTCCAGGAACTGTTGATCAACCCCTAGGTGCTTTTCAGAAGAAAAGGGACTGTGGATTTCCCTGCAGTGAGTTTAGCTGTAGGGCACCTGAGTGTCACCCAGGCTGGTTTACACCACACTGAAATAACACTACCATAGCAAGTTTGTTTATTCAATAAATGGGAAAGCTCCATTAATGCCATTAATAATACTCTGGCATTAACACTAGATTAATACTAGATACTTATCGTGTGAAGAATGAAAAGGTGTGGTCCTCAGTGTGTGTTGTAGCACATGGAAGCAGGCATGGGGTGTCACAGAAGGAGCCCAGGCAGTCATGGGGCAAGTGTTGTAGCTTCTTGTGCAGGATGAGGTGAGCAGCTCTGTGTGGCAGCAGTGGCTGGCCAGGTGAGAGCTGTGACTGCCAAGAGGGTTGTCAAGCACAGCAGAGCCAGTGCAGAGGAGAGGGCGGAGTAAAGGTTTGAAGGGGGCTACTGTCAAAACAGTGATTCAAGTAAGGGGTTTCATGTCCTTGTATGAACTGGAAGTCTGACAGGAGAGGAAAATATCAGAAATTGCAGGTGTGAAGGTCGTGCTTTAGTTTATATCCTACTGCTTGTCTTTTGTAATCTGCACACCTGAAAAACATTGTTGGATTTTGTTACAGCATGTCTTTGCTGGCCAGATGTGTTTTTTTCTGCCCTTTAGGTCTTAGCATAAGTAGCTGAGGTCTTTGTAGACTACTTTTGTATTTATAGTTATTTTCTGACCCCAAAAAAAAGCATGGCTTCAGTCATCAGAGTTTTACTAGAACCCAAACATCTTATTATTTCAGTAAATAGTTGTGAGAATTGAAATTAACATTCTCCAGAATATGTCTAAATTTCCATTAATATTCATTGAGCATTACAGTGCTGAAATCTAGTTGCTTCAATTTAATTCTCATGTGGAAAGTCTTAGTGCTCTTCACAAGCCATGTAACTCAGATAACTGCTTGAGATGAAAGTGTACTAAACAGTTACAAGTCTTGCACCAAAGATAAACTATTTTATTTAAATATCTAGCCTTTTTTTAAGCTATGTATGATGGTTAATATTGAACAATGAAATAATACTACTATGAACTCCCACATCATATAATATTCTATAGCCTGAGCACTACCGTCATAGGTAAATGTTGCCAGAACAAATTAAGTAAAATGTAGCCTAAGGAATGGCATTTGAATTTTTAAGTCTTTTCTGCAACACTGATCAGTCCTTTTCTGAACAATAGCAAGTCCAAGAAGAATTTTTCCTAGCAAAATATATCTATTTCTGTTCATAAGTAAAATTTAGTTTCTTCAGATTTATTTACTGTTTAAAAATATTTTCCACAATCTTTAAATTGTAATTTTTTTTGTCTTTTTCTCCAACTGAAAACTGTTGGTTATAAAGTGGGGTTTAGAGAGAAAAAAAAGTTGCTAAAAAAATTTTACTACTACAAGCGTGACTGACTTTTAAAGTTTTCACATGACCAGGAATTGTCTACTATGCACCATGAGGATTAAAACTTTTATTAAAACTATTCAGTTTTAATATTTGAATTATATTCTAAGGCTGAATAGTGTATCTGATGAACTTTGCAAGTGCTGCTTTTTGATAACTATTGAACTTGCTCGTTCACTCTTGAAGAGAATATATTTGCTTATAACAAGCTTTATTCCATTTTTGACACCTTAAGAAGCTGATAAAACACATTTTCAGAATGAAAATATAAGAGGATTCTTCTGGGACAAACTGAAAATCTTCAATATCTTGTCAACCATGACTTGTTCCTGTTACCTCATTTTATTTTGTAATACATAAACTTGGAATTTCTATTGCGTAATGTTTTGATCAGACAATATATAATGTGTGTGTTTGTTGCTTGTTAGTTAAAACTCCTATTTTTGTATTCAAGTTTTTAATAGGGAATTTTGACTCATTGCCTTAGTGAAAACTGACTTAATTTGAATGATGCTTATATCTTAGATATGTTATTGTCTAGATAGGTTACTATTTAATAATGCTGCATGTAAATCGAATGCTGTACAACAAAGAAAAACCAAAAAGTCTTGCTGCTAGGTCATGCTCTTTCTCTGAGTTTTCATTAAAAGTTGTATATAGAAATCTCTTCAGTAGATTTTTTCACTGTGTGTATTAAAACTACTCACTTCTACAAGTTTAAATATTGTAGTTGTGTTATAGTAGAGGTACTTTGTGAATCAGGCAGAACTTCTACCTTGGCTTTAAGGAAAATCTTTGAGTTAATAATTATTGGGGTGTTTTGTAATTTAAATTAAACTCAAATCCTAGTATTTAGGTGCTTATTACAGAGTTATGCTTCCTCATCAGGTAGTCCTGGGGTGTGTTTTGCTTTTTAAAAAATTCTTGGGTTTGAATGTTATTTAACCTGATCAGAGGATATTTATTGTTGTGAGGGAGCTCACAGGCTGTCTAATCAAAGCTCCTGCTCAGAGAACAGCTATGAGGTGAGATCAAGCTGCTCTAAACTTTATCCACTTCAGTTTTGAAAGCATTCTGGACTGTAAAAGGGTAAAATCAGGCATTCTTTTGAAAGGTTTCTTTATAACATAAAAGGCAGCAACTTCTTCACATTGCACAATATTATAGTGAGCTGTGATATTTTAGGGCACACTAGAGGAATTCTGCAAAATTCAATTGCTCTGTTGAACAAGGTTATTATTTCTTGTGTCACAGTCAGAGAAGAAACTCGAAGGTGATATGTTCAAGCTGTCAGTGTAAGCAAAGAACTGGTTAATATAGAAACTTAGACCTAGATCTGATTTGCCCTCAACCAACATTTTT